AAATAGAATCGTAAATATGCTCGTTAAAAGAATCTTTATAACGAGAAATCTTATCAGATATGGGAAACATGCATCAGAGAAAAATTCGCCAAAGGTTTACAAATATATTATTGGGTGTGGGGTTTTAAAGTTCGAATTGGGTCACTTGGTGTCAAGTGTAGTTATGATTGTGGTTATTATTGTAAAGTGCATACATGAAGCAGAATAAAAAGTCAAAATTTCACACACCATAAAAGACAAGTTAAAACATGGGGGAATGTGTTACTATACCTTCCAAGTATCGACTATCTATAGGTGCATTGCACATCTTTTTTTTTTCACAACACGATTAACCAATTTACGTGGGCATGTGTATCAAAAGTATGAGAGGACACTGAAATGGAAGTACTAAAGAGATGATCATTTTTTTTCATAAATACAAAATTTATACAGGAACGGAAAAAAGGTGGAGAAAGGTTAGAAAATTGGCTAAACAAGAAAAATGATGTGATGCGCCAATCCCATTCAAGAGGTAAGTATACTTGCAGCATCTCCATTATTTTAAAACAATGCATCATTGTGTTTGATAAATCTCTTACCATTTAAAGCAGAGGAAATTTTAAAGAAAATTCTGTTCTTTGTTCTGTGTAAAAATAATGCAAATACAATAATGATTTTTACAGTATTTGCGGCGTATATGAAAACAATTAAGTATACTTAACCATGGTACCTCAACACATCAAGATTGTCCTACGGCTATTAATTCAAAACATTGTTACATAAAGACGTTTAGTCATTACATTATCTTGCGTCTTTAGGGGGTCCCTGCAAATACGACCTTAATTAGCGTTATGTACGTCCTGTAAATGCGATATTCTTACCCACAAACTCAAACGCACAAGACAACACACATGATCAACGTGGGACGGGATATCTCTTTAACAATGAACCTTTTTTTTAAAAAAATTCATTCATAAAATTGTGATACACTTAGACGCATTATTGTATTCATAAAAAAAACCCTGCATATCTGAATTCCCCGAGTTGTATTTTATCGATATAATATTGTACTGTATATACAATATTAATATACAGTATATTGATACATTAAAAAATGAGAAAAAAATTTTGTCAAAATACGGGCATTTGTTTACAAATAATGCACGAGGGCGTAACTTTTTTAATTGGGCAGAAAAAGGGATTTACTCTATTGTATTTTTTTTTGTTGGTCACATTCTGTAATAGTCAAGGTGCAGCAGATCGATTCTATAAGTAGC